CGCATTCATACACAATGGCTGTTGTCATTTACGAACATACTGCACGCGAAACACTCTGCAATTATAAAACATGGGGCTAGAAAAAGTATTATATGTAGTCATGGGTCAAACACATAGTTGCGTGAATTTGTTGGTTTGACTTTTTGTGCTATTTAAAGTTGGACTCTGTGGGTGGATATGGGTAGCTACCTTTGCCCTTAGTGCAAGAAGCTGCACTTTGAAACTCTTTGTTGTACTTTTGTTGGTCACATTTGTTTAACCTCCTAAGACCCGAACTCTTTCATGGCATGCATTTTTAGTTTGTCTTTGATATTTGGACCCGATGAATGTAAAAACAAAGAATTACCAGATTTTTTTTTTTTTTTACCCGATTTTTGTTTCTGAGAAAAATTAGAGCCACATATGAGGATATTTGTCTAAAATTTCAATAGAACAGTGGCAGTTTAATATCCTCGTATGTGGATATCAGGCCCTTGTAGAGCAAAATTTAGTATATTGGTCTAAACAACCTAAAATGTGATGTCCACATATGTGGACGCCAGGTCCTAGGAGGTTAAAATACATAACATATTAATAAATTTATTTATTTATTTATTTTCATATTTTGTGTTTGCAATTTCTGACATTTAATTCTGCTTTAGTTCAGCTTTCAGATGACGGATATGCACCCCTTCCATGCATTCACCAAGAAGTGCCACTGTCCACGGGTCCACCTGATGAAATCTTCTATGTTGTGCTTTATCAATACACTGCAAAGGTGATTTGCATGATTATTTTAAAACGTACAGCAAGAAAGTGAACATTGAGCAAGATGATCAATAAAGAAAAGAAGAAAGTAGATGATATTAGCGGTACTGTATATAAGGGATATTTGCCTGTAATTAAGATGTGCTTTCTTTACATCGACTGATCAGGAAGAAGATGAGCTATCTGTGAGCCGAGGAGATGTAGTTCGAGTGCTGGACCAAGAACAAAATGGGTGGTGGACGGTGGAGAGGAATGGGTTTAGTGGACTGGTGCCAGGAAACTATCTAGGCCAAATTTAAACATGTATGCAAATACAGTAATTTTCTTTATATCTCAGGAGAAATTCAATTTATTTATAGTAATTTCATGAAAAAGAACCGTAAATCCAATTCTTACTTGCCTGCCCCTTTACCTTAAAACAGTGGGTCACAAAATGTGGGCGGGCTATTTCACTGATAATATGCAACTTTATTTAAGTAAAATGCTATGTGCATCATTTTTTATCGTTAATATAATTAATCAAATTAAATACTGTGGGGGGTGGGGGGTTTATAGCTTATGATATAGAGCATGCAAAAAAAAAAACAACAACTTTGAGAACCCCTGCCTTACAATGAGTTTTATCATAAAATGCAATAATTTATGTTATTGGTATCTGATTTTTGCCCCCAGAATGACTGGTTTTGGGGGACAAACCCACTGTGATTGTGTAAACACAATTGTGCCCCCACAATATGCGTGGTATACACAGAACAACAGTTGCAAATGCAAGAAAGTAGACACAAAGAATGTCAACACATCAAAACAGATGTCTCATATGCTTAAAAACTTGCACGCTTGCAAAGACACACACCAAAGCGAACACATGCCACACACAATACAGCCTACAAACACACACATTTTTGCCAGGCTTTTTTTCCCAAGTGCTCTTACAATACTGGCTAACATGAAAAACTAACCAAAAACCTGAATTAAAAAGGATAATTTAGTAAGCAGTAGACTACCTAAGCAATTAATGCAAGTTAAAGGAAATGCATTCACCAGCTTATATCAGCCTCATTGTTTAAACTGGTTTGGATAATCAGTATAGCTATACTGTTTATCTCATCTTTAGTTCCTATACTTGTAATGTATGACTAAAGAATGGTTAGCCATCTACTTTAGAAAACCAATGAAGAATTTAAAAATTCCCTTCATTCAGTCAAGTTACCATGTTTTCAACATGAATCTGTATGTTACTAATAGTAGCAAACTAGTACTGCACCAGTACATTCTAAGCACTGTAGCATCACATACTTTTTTCATTAAAATTTGACCTTAAATGACTTGTGATAAGATGAATGACAAGAAAACAGAATGAGTACCATGTGTAAACCACCAGTGGCTGCTAAGTTTAACAGCATTAAGCAGCCACATATATACAGCGGAAATGTATATGCTTCTGGCTGTCAATCCTTCTTTGTTTAGAAATGCAGTTCCTGACTAAACTATGACATAGTCTTTTAAATCATCCATTTATTTGGTGCACATGTGAGCTGGTGAAAATAGAGGGCTGGATTTCTAGTTATGTGAAAAGGAAGGTTTTCATAGAACTCTATGCTGTCCTTAACAACTGAGTACAAATTATGATTCATTACCTTGTAGAATCACCTTTAGCAGCAATACCATGAAGTAATCGTTTTCATGCTTCATTCGTTTCTCACGCTGTTGTTGACACTGTTGCTCACACACAGCTCTCTTAAGGTCCGGCTACAGCATTTCAGTCATGTTGAGGTCTGGACTTTGCAACATATTTTCTATTTCAGTCATCTTGCTTATGTGTTTGGGATCATTATCCTATTGCATAGCCCAGTTTTGGCCAAGATTTTGCTGTCCGACAGATGGCCTCACTCTTGACTCTGGTGTTCTTTGAAATACAATGGCTGCAAAATGAGCCCAAATTATCAGCCCTCCAAACCCAAACTTAACAGTGGTATGGGGTGTTTGCGCTGATGTGCAGTTGGCTTCCAATAAATGTTCCCCTTTGCATTATGACTAGGCATCTCTCTTTGGTCTTGTTCTGGAGGTCTTTTGGTTTGCTCAAATACAACTTTGCAAACCTAAACTATTATTCCATCTTCTCCCTACAATTCTTCCAAACAAGCCATACTCGTTCAGGAATTGTACTGTCAGGTACTTAGATATAACACCCTAAATGAGGAATGTAGCTCTTGGCCTTTTGTAATTTCTCTGAGTATTGCATGGTCAGACTTTGGGTGAAATTGCTGGGGAATCTACTACTGGGAAGTAGATGTGGTCTTGTAGCGTTAACATAGCAAAACTAAATGGTCCAAATTAGTAATCTGCCAAAACTTCTTTTACAGAGGTGGTCACACTTGCTGATGATCAGTTGCATTTGATTAGCAGCACCAGGCTGATAATTACCCACTTAATTCCCATAGAAGACATAACTGTGTAATGTGTTTTTCACAGGACTGCATAAAATCCTGCAAAAACGTTCCTTTTCATATGACTGTAGTAATCATCATTTATATCTGCTGTACATAAAAGCTTTTCTGTAAACCTTCCACAGACCATCGGCTACAAAAGTAGCACATACAGATGAACAAACTACTAGAATAAACTATTTTTATGCTTGTCAAGTGACGGCACATTTAAACATGTTTAATATATTTCCATGCGCCTGATGATATAGCCATATGATATTGCTTGTTTAAGTACTTCGTGTCGGTTTGTTTTTTTTTGGTAGCATATTTACTGTCACGTGTAAAAAAAAATTAAAAGACTCCAGTTGAGGTGTATGAGTTTATTTGTCTCCTTTTATCGCTCATATTTTTCCGTGGAACTAGCTAAATATGGGATCAACTTAACAGCTTAAAAATATTAAAAGGGTACACACTTTCACTACAAGGTACAAAGAATGTGTATTTTTTTAAAAATCAGGTTTATACTTAACAAATCAAACTAAACAAGTAAATGTGTGACTGTAACAGATTAAATCTACATATATAAATCTTTAGGTAACACTGATAATACTCCTACTGATGGCACTGGAGACCAAATAGTTAATTCACAATTTATATCTTAGCAATGTCTTGTTAGTGAAGCCTGATTTGGAAATTTACAATCGGAATATTTGTGAACATAAACAACTCTTTCACCAAACATTGCTTTGAGAATGAGATGCTGCTCCAACACCTAAAAAAAACAAACATTCATTATTCTTATTCTGCAAATCTTAAAAACTAGACTGCATTCATGGAACAGCTAAGATTAAAACATCAGATCTGTACTATGCTAAAAAGATTTGTCTGGTCAAACCAAGGCCTTGATAACAGAGTACATGTTATTTTTAACACAGCTTATGCATTTGGACAACCACTAAATATCTCCAGAGTTCCAGCCATGGTGCAAAATAGCACGCCAAGAAAAAGCTTTCATACAACACGACCAGTCTTATTTTCACATTTAAGCTTCTCGTCATCCTTATTGGGCACATACACAAATTTTATGAAGCCACAATTTAAAGAAAAAAATTGCACATCAATAATCAGAAATCAATTAGCCATATACAACTTTGGCTTTTGTAAATATTTCAGTATTTGTAACAAAAGGATAAACATTTAAAAGTAACAGGAACTTGGAAAGCATGTCAATAAATAAATGGTTTTCCCTTGAAGCCCCCACCCAAAACGTCAGTGTTCGCTACTTTATCATGAATTGTGCAAGGTGTGCTTGAGCTTATATAACTATAGCTGATAACTAGTGTGAACATGTCCTGTGACGCTCCTGTTGATTTTCTTAGTGTTTTGTTGGCCGGCTGCATTCTTCATGCATAGCTGTTGGTTGTGACCAGCAGCTCATACGCTGGGTCGTGGCTCCTCCTGCACAGCACCACGCAAGCACAGAGCATGCCCAGCATCTGCAGGCAGACAGCACAGGGATCGAAACTGTGAAGTCAATTTTTTCCCTTCAGCAACCTCCATGTAAATTTAATTAAACAGCACAACTTAACAGTTTCAAATTTTAACAGGAATATTGGGACACACTATAGAACATACTCTGTAATGTATAAGAACTATACTTGTATGTATCACTATATGCACTCTGGCTGTAAAGTTGGATGTTATGCTGACAACAACCACAGCATAGATGCTTTGTTAAACATAGATGCTTTGACCACATTTACTTTGTCTCAATTAGGTCAGAGCTACTTTCAGTTCACTTGTTACCAAGACAACTACAGTTTCAATAATACACCCTACTCACCTGAGTCTATTGCAAGACTCTTTAAATATAGTTCTGATTATATGCTTTAGCTGAGTGATGACGCGGCATATAAATATGCAAAATCTCACTATAACTATCTGCAAGACAAAATACAGGTATCAACATTTTAAGACCCTTGTGTTTGCAGCTTATATTCCTTACCTGTATAGATGCAAAAGTCAACGCAGCCCATATGACATACATCATAATCTCCTTTAATTTCTTCACAACAAGAGCTTCACATCCCTAAAGACGAAAAATAAAAAGGTTTTCCAGCTATAAACACACTTGTAACGTGCTGGAAAATACTTACAGTCTCTGCAAACGATTTAATTACAGACGCCAAACTGGTGGTGTGTACCTCTTGGTAAAGATCTGCTGGTCGAGTGAGCGTGCCTGTACAGTTGCTGATGTTGGGCTGACAGCAACTGACGGGGACGCTGTTGTTCTTGGATTCTTTAAACCAGTGGGTGTTCTTCCAGTCAGAGTAGTTGTGAATGCCGCAGCAGTGAAGCTAGGACAAACAGTGAATGAAAATGTTTAATTACAATTTTAAAATTCATCATCTAATATATGACTACCAGGAAAGCATAAAAAGTAACGTAATTAAAAACTGCACGTACTCACTTTTTCCAGTTTTAGATGACAAAATCATTTGTCACAATAGAAGTTTTTTTTCTCACCTGCCTCTGCACATAATCAATCGCCCGGCTAGGAGCATCAGTGTTGGTGCCACTGTATTCATTGTAAACTTTTTGAATGGAGTGATTCACCTCATCTTCTACCTATAAAAACAAAGAAAACAAAACAAAAAATAACACAACTGTCACTATTCACCACTCATTGCTCACTCAAAGTAATTTGCTGACTTAGTCTTATAACATTGTCAAAAAACTAATTATAGAAGCACTTTAACCCAAAGAGATTAAGGATAAATGAGAGCGGCTAAATTATTTACATTTATTCATCACAGCAGAAGGAGCTGTTTTACACACAGTAATAAACCATTTATTTGTAAATTACATAAAAACTCCCTTGTTCACAAGGGGTTGCCACAGTGGATTATCTTGAAACAGGAGACAAATTAAGATTTAGCAGCAGCATTTCATTGTCGCCTTTAACAGAAAAGAACGCGACCAGCAAAACAGTGTTTACCTTTGCTCTGTATATGTAGCCGAGCACCACCACCACACACTCCGTTACAAATACCAGCAGGAGTATGGCAGCAAACTGAAAAACAGAGACAGAAAGCTGATGTTAAAATTGATCTAAAATTAAAGAAAATATTGAACATAAGACATTTTCTCTCTGTCTTAAAGCTTATATTAAAACTCTTAAATCATTAGGCAGTTGGCCACTGAATGCATTAGTAATTAATAATAATAATAATAATAATTGTCCCCATTTATAAAAAGTGTCTTTTCTAATGTAGTTTCAATGCAATGTGAGGTTTTATCAATCAAAATTGCCAAAACAAGTGAAAATGTCAAATTATTGAGATTTTATTTTTAAAATCCCTCCCTGCATTTTTACCGCATTTTAAGTATTTTCTTCAATTCTGCAGTTTAATTCATTAAATTCCCATTAAAACCCATATTGCATTATTATTGCTTTAGCAAAGCCATGTATGTACATTCCCAGCAAGAGTCGGGTGTCAGCATCCCCCAGTAGTAATTTAAAAAGGGAGTTTCTTTACCAACTTTTAGCAAAGCAAAAAGTTCGCAAAATGTGCAACAAACTGTTCTCACTAAAGACAAACTTCTTTCAGCACTTGAGGCAAAAACACAACCAGGCTATGAAGGTAATATAAAGGCTATGAGATACTAGCAGCTGCTGATGTCTGACTGAAATGTAAACAAACGACTCCCCCAAGCGCAGCATTTGCAAGTTATGCTCAACACGAAAGGAAAAGAAAATAGTGGATGTAAATTAGTGATGGTCGAAAGGAAGGGCTTTAAAATGCTAGTTAAGAAGCTCAAACCAATATACAGCATCCCAGGTAGAAATGAGGTTTTAGTGCCAATATTGTGAAAATGCCCTTCCTTTACTTACAATATTAATGGTGCTGCCTGCAAACTGCAAGCATGAAAAACACCATTCAGTATTTTTTACTTTATCATCAGAAATATCGATATTGTAAATTTTCTTGCTATATATCACCCACCTTCCTTGGCACTTCTTAACGTGTTTCCTACAGTTTCCTACTATAGGCATAAAACCACTTTTTTTTTTTGGCATACTCACCGTTGCCAAGCCACAGGAGCTTTCACGTATTGTTGCGCAGCAGCCAATCAAACCGATGATGAAGAGAAGAGTTCCGACAGCTATGATTACAACAGCTGGAATCAACGTGTACACGTCTTCAAAGAAGTGGTCATAGTCATCATATGTGATAAACACATAAGCTCCTATGTAGCATAAAATTCCAGCTGCAGCCTGCAGAGAGAAACAGGGAAAAATCAGAAGACTCAGATGTAAAAGCATAAAGAGACATAACCTGCTTTTCCAATGCTTCAATTTATGTGAGTGCAAATCATTTAATACTACATTTTCGGCCTAAAAGAATTTAACTGACACTTCTTGCAGTTGCACCACCTGACTTAAGCCATCTTTGCAACTTTTGTAATTATTTTCAATTCAGACAGGCTTTTACTTAATCGTCTGTGTTAACGTTTTTATTTGGTAGCAAAAGCATACACTTCTCCCCTATTATTCGTTTTTTGATTTCATAATTAAACTATAGTTTTTGTATGGTTGCACCACCCTGACATTTGAGAACATGCAAACCATTAAACAATTATTTTAATGAGCTGAACAGCTTTAAAATTATTGTTATATCAGATTTTGAATGTATAATAATTTAAACCCCAGCTTTAAAAGTGTTCTTAGTC